GTCCCCTTGTGGGACTGCATAACCTTTGCCCCTTTTTCTCCAGCCCCATTGTGATTAAAATGTGAGTTAATAGATGGAGATGCTTGTTAGTCTAGAGATGCTAGATAGGGATCTGTAACCGACCTAGGGTCCCAGAGTAAACTACTCAACTCTTTGTTTATCCGGAACTGATATTCCAGGCACCACAATTGTTAGAACAAGCTGCAGATGTCTGCTAACCATCAATGTGTGACAGTCGACCACTAACCTTTGTCCCCTTTTCTTTGATATGTTAACTTCCCCCTCAACCCCCTATAAAAACAGCCTCGGATTCTGAGCCAGTTGCCTCTCTAAGCTATTTTGCTTCGGGAGTGCCGTCTGGCCAGACTAATAAAGGTCTGTTTCCCAACTTGTCCAGTGTGTTCGTTCCCGGGTGGTCTTCGCTGTAGTCAGCTCCTTGGAGCGTTTGGTAAGGCTCTTGGTCTTACATTCTGAAGGCACCGCTGGGATTCCTGGGTGTGCTTCATTAGTCAGCTCCTCGGAGCGTTTGGTAAGGCTCTTGGTCTTACATTCTGAAGGCACCGCTGGGATTCCTGGGTGTGCTTCACTATAGTCAGCTCCTCGGAGCCTTTGGTAAGGCCCTCGGTCTTACACCCTGAGGCAGACTGTGCACCCCGACATACTGAGAGATCCTGGCAGAGCTGGCGGGGCTCCGTCACTGCACACATGTGGACAAAGCACCTCCTGTGGGGGGCACCTTTCCTGACACTTCCCCGTCACTCAGGGAGCAGCACAGACGATCCTCTGGGCCTCCCCTGCTTCCCTCCCCACCCTGCAATCAGATGGTCCTCCTGGACCTCCTGGGAGCTGGGAACTCCGGGTGCTAACAGACCACACCCTCCTGGCCCCCCCAGGTACCTTCTTCCAGCCCAACTGTGAGGAGGACAAGCAAAACAAGAGGTGAGAGGGCTTGGTTCTGAGAGTGAGGGCTTCTCTCTCCAGAGTGGGGTACATCCGGGGAACTGGGCTTGGGGCGGGCTGGGGAAACCCAGGCCACACACTTTTCACTGCTTCCTGCTAGAGGGCTGGGGCCTGGGGCTGCGCCTACAGGAGGAAGACAGAGCTGGGGCTGGGGCCCTGGGCATGTGGGGAGCCTGGGCTGGCCAGGGCCCAGCAAGGTCCCTGGGAGGATCCATCCCCACACCGCACAGGCCCAGCCGGGCGTGCCCACTCCTGGATGGAGGCTGCAGAGGTGTGGGGCCAGACTGCTCAGCGTGGGCCCCACACCTCTGCCCTCTGTGCCCAGCTGCTAGCGGGAAGGGTGGGCTCTGCAGGGCAGCCCTCCCTCAGGGTCAATGACAGACTATGTCATGGAGAGGCCGGGCCTCTCACTCTATGTGCCCCTCCCACCTGCAGTGCCCTGTGCTCCCTCCTGGAGACCTGGTTGGTCAAATACCCAGGAGACTTCTGCCAGTGCCCAGACCTGGCCAGCCTGAAGCAGCTCATGGCCTATGCGCTCATCAACCTGCCTGACTCGGACCTTGTTCTGCAAGTGGACAGACTCCTGACCCAATTAGAACCCCTCTGAGGAGGAGCCCGAGGGTGAGCAGGCCTGGCTGGGTGCTTGGGGGCAGGGCAGCTAGGTCAGGCTGGGCCCCACCAGGCAGAGGCTCCAGAGGGTGCTGTTCGGCTAGGAGCAAAGGAAGAGGCTGGGACCGTGGATGGGGTGGACCTGAGACAGGATGGCATCCTGCTGTGGGCTCAGGGGCTGGGGCCTCTCTGGCAGGAAGGGGCCTCCTCTGCCTTGGGAAAGACACGGGGAAGGGTAGTTGTGGGTCTTTTCTCTTGCCCCTCTGGTGTCTAGACTAGCGTCCAACCTGCAATCCGCTGCAGCAGGTGTCAAGAGAGACTCAGGAGCAAAAGGAGGGAGGGAGCCTGCAGCAGCTTTTCTGACACCTCGAGATCTGGAGCCAGGAGCCAGGAGCCAGAACAGACAGCAGCAGCCAAGACTGACTCCTTGCACTTGGCAGCTCCTGGTCCAGCTGCAGTGCCTTCCCTCCCCTCACCTGGGAAAGTCATCTTTTGTTTTTTTTCTGATTTTCCTATCCATGTTTGGATAGGAAATTTTATTTTAATAAATTTAATAAAATTCTATTGTAAAATATTTAACTGTTCATCTATTTCAAAAATCCGTATCTAGGGGCACTCAATCCTCCGGCCATGCCGAGCACCCCACACCACTGTCCAGCTGCTGCCCTGAACCCCTAGCAGAGCCCCTGGGTCCTGTGGGGAGGACACTCGCAGGATCTGCTGGACGAGGGGACTGAGGAGCCCCCAGGGGGTTAGGGACAGGAAAGTGTTGAAAGGGCGCTGAATACAGGCAGGTGAGGGGCTGCCTGTGCTGGGCAGGGCCCCTGATGGCCCCGGATTGGGGCTGCGCTCTGGGGAACCCCTCCTGGAAAGCCACTCCCTTTTGAGTATCAGGTTCCTGCCCCATGAGATGGGACAGCAGCGTCCTCCCTGGCTAAGATGAAGGCCATTCAGTGCTCTGGCCTGGAGAGCTCCAAGCAACCCGAGGAGCCTGGCACCCTCCCGCTACACAGTGTACAGATGCAGAGTGTGAGGGGTGGAAGAGTAAGTACTTGGGAGGGTTTTCATTCCACGGAAGAGCTGTAAAGCCTTGGCTTTTCCAAAATGGCTCTAAGCTTTTCCACAAGAGTAAACTGCAGTGTGGCCGGCAACATGGTGCCTATGGGAATTTCACACATGCGCCCGTGGCAGTGGCCTGGGAGCAAAAAGAGAATCTCAGAGACAGAGCCATGAAGCATGTCCAATCTGAAGGAAGGGTGGAACAGTGCCTTAGGGATCTGTCAGATGACTGCTTCCCTAACAGGGCAGAGGGGAGGCAGGAAACCTATGATTTAAAAAGTAAGTCAACAACAAATAGCTGACAATGTCCAAAATTGGGCAGAAAACCTAATTTCTAAATCCAAGAAAGTTAACAAACCCCAAATGAAAATATAAATAAGAACATCCCATAGACATATGATAGTTAAACTACTTAAATATAATCAAACAAGAAACTCTTAAAAACAGCCAGGAAAACATTACACACAGTGAAATATAATAGCTAGCATCGTGTCAAAAAGCGTGGCTGGATCATTCAAGTGTGGAGAGAAAATGAACACCGGTATGGGATTCTACATCCGTCTGACTGCCATGTCAACAACAATGGAGACGTGACAATGGCTTACCAGCTACACACAAGAGTGCCAAAGTGAAAAATAAGATTCCAAATGCCAGCTACTAGTTAGGATTTGAAACAAATGGTACTGGGATTACAAAATGGAGTAGACTTTGAAACAAGCTTAGCTATTTGTTGTAAAGTACACACACAATGCTCATGTGAGCCAAATATCCCAGACCTAGGTATTTACTGATGGAAACTGAAACTAATTATTAAACCAAAACCTCTTGGCAAAAGTCGATAGCAACTATGTTCCTATTTGCCCACAGCTAGAAACAAAGCCAAAGCCTCTGCACAGGTGAGTGAACAGACTGAGGTGCATCTCACCACCAAAATACTACTCACCAATAAATGAAGCACTGATTCACCCAGCACAGCACAAACAAGTCCTCAGTGCTTTCCCACAGTGGCGGAAGTCAGATCCCAAAGCCTGTGCATTAAATGGATCTTTGCACGTGACGGTGCAGACCAAGTGAAATTTAGGCTTTCACAACGACCAGCAGTTGTCACAGGGGGGGAAATGGAAGGACAAACTAGAAAGCAGGAGCATGAATGGATGTTTAGGGCAATGAAAGAGTTCTGTATGGAAACATGGAGGTGGATATGGAACTGTACAGTTGTCAAAGCACAATGAACTGTATACTGAAGAGCTCCTTTTACTCTATTCCAATATTTAAAAATCAACCATGATAACCAGGTGAGGTGGTGCATAGCTACCATCCGCGTTAGGGCAGAGCCTGAGCCAGAATGATCTCTGGTTGTTTGAAAGGCAGGCTGAGAAACATAGTGAGACCTTGTCTCATAAAAGGAAATAAATATTGTTATGGCTTGTGTCTAGATGTCCCTCAAAGCCTCATGCTTTCTCAGAGGAGGCTGAATCTGGACTGTGTGATGCTGGGGCTAAGGATGTGTGATTACTAACCCACTACACTGAGTGGCTGGTTTGGCACTGCCCTAATCCCGATAGTCTGTATAGGATAAAAGGGGCCGAAAGACGCTGTTAAGGTCCCTTGTTGCCTTTGCTCCCTGTGCGCACCATGTTGTTTCTCCTTTGTGATGCCTGGTTTGGCCATCCCTGCCTTGGAGCCAGCCGATTATGGACTGAAATGTCTACAAACTGTGAGCCAAATAAACTCGTTTCCCCTTTAACTTTGGGTGTTGGGTATTGTGTTCCCAGGAATGGTAGAAAAGTAACTAAGACAAATATCAACAAGAATGTCAGGGAATAGAAATGGATCAGACAGTGGTTGCTAGAAATATGTTACATAACGGTACTGAAGGGGGTGCTGCTGCTGAAAGATCCAGACCTAAGGAAGTTAGGAAAACATCCTTTTGCCTGGACACTGTGACTCTGGAACTGGACACAAGCACCTGGCCAGTGTGTTTTTCACAAGGGTCTGTGTCACTACTCAGAAACTACTCCACAACTTAGTAAATCTACTACGGAAAACTAGAGTCCCATCACCCATTGTAGATTAAGGACGTTTCAAATAAACAGAGAATTCTGGAATAAACACTGCAGTGGTAGGTTGCTGCTGGGAACAGCAGCGTGAATCTGTGTCTATTTTAATATAGGTCCAAATGCCCAACAAGTAAAAAAATCTACAACATCTCTAGCCATCAAGAAAATGGAAACTAAAGCATTGAGATTCCACTTAACCCTGGAATGGTTTTCTTCAAGAATACAAAAATCGGGCCAGGGATCTAGCTCAGTGGTTCTGCCGCCTGCCTCATAAGCACAAGGTTCCAAGTTTAATCCCTGGTTAAAAAAAAAAAAATAAATAAATAAATACACACACACACACACACACACACACACACATAATACTAGTGAGAATGCAGGAAAAGGAAACCTTTCTACTTGCTGGTGGGAATGTAAATTAGTACAGCCATTATGGAAACTGTACTACATTTCCTCAAAAAACTAAAAGTAGAAGGGGCTCGGGATGTAGCTCAGTGATTCCTCAGCCTGCCTCGCAAGTGAAAGGTCCCGAATTCGATCCCCAGTACCAAAAACCCCAAAAAACTAAAAGTAGAGTTAACATTTGATCCAGTGGTACTACTCCTTGGTATATAGCCCAGGGAATATCAGCACATTCTGTGGGGACCTGCATGCCATGTCCACTGTGGCACAGTCCACAGTGCAGAGGTAAGAACCAGCCGCAGTGCCCAGAGATGAATGAACAGGACGAATACCACATGGCACATGTACACAGTGGAGAAATATTCAGCCATAAAGAATACATGCTGTCATTTGTGTGAAAATGGATCTACAAATCATGTCGAGCAAAATAAGCCAGACTCAGAAACACAAATATCGCATGTTCTCCCTGATAGGTAGAATCTAAAAAAGATGATGAGAAAGTACAACAGAGATTATTAGTCAAGAGGAACGTGGTGAGTGATGGAGGGAAAAGTAAAATAAAATTAAATCCAATACTCAGCAAATAGGATGAACAGCAGATTACTCACACGAGAAAAAGTATCATTAAATGAGAAAATGGATTTGAAGCAAATATGGGAGCCAGAAAGACAAAGATGTGAAAAATGATGAAGCACAAAATGTAAAGATCTACAGTAATCTACGCAGAGTTCCGGAGAAGGTAACACAGGGGGTGCAGAAGGGCAAGCCAGGGACACAGAGCCAGTGGAGACCACAGGGAGAGGCTGTGGAGAGCAGTAAGCAGTCAGCCTTTGTTCTTTCGTTTGTGGTACTGGGGCTGGGACCAGGGCCTTGTGCTGCATGCACCCCAGTTGCTCTGTCCAAATTTTAAGACAAGCTCTTGTGAAATTACGAGGCTAGCCTGGCCTGGAACTCCTGATCCTCCTGCCTCAGCCTCCTGCAAAACTGGGATTCCAGGCCACGGTGCTCACTCTCCTAGCATTTCCAACATCTCACCCCATAGATGAGTGCGGGACAAGTGCTGAGTCCCTTGGGTGTGCAGATTACTGTTCTTCGGCCTAACCTGGCAGATTTCAGCTGCTGTCTTCTGAGTGTTTTTCCCTCCCTGCTCTACTGGGGCTTTCCTCTGCTTTGGAGATCTTGATGCTGTCCTGAGCTCAGAGGCTGTTTTGGGCCTTGCAGTCCTGAACTCCTGGGCTCGTGAGCCTCCTGCCTGTGCCTCCTGAGTAGCCGGGATACAGGTGCACCACTGAGTCTGGCTTCTGTTAAAAAATGCAATTTCTAAAAAAAAAAAAAAAAGCAATTTCTGTCAACTTAATCTTCAGTTTTGTGGATGGTTTCTCTGCCAGCTCAAGTCTACAATAACTCAAACAAAAATTCACCAGGTGTGGTGGTACAGGGCAGTGATCCCAGCACTTGGGAGGCTGAGGCAGGAGGATCACAAGTTTGACCCCAGCCTGGGCAACTTAGTGATCGGGCTAGACGTTGTCTCAAAATAAAAAAATGGCTGGGGATGAAGCTCAGTGTAAAATCCCCAGTACCATTAAGACAAAACAAGCAGGAAAAAAAACCCCGAAAAGCAAAAGCCCCAAACAGCCAATATTAAATACAAATCCACGGGCAGAGATCTATTTTTTAATTGGCTTTGATGAGAACTGACACACCCTACAGACGCTAATACAATCTGAGTGCAGGGCATTGTCTGCCAACAGTCAGGTAATTCAGAGAAAACACATGAAAATTAAAAGGCAGACCCAGCTTCATATGCTCCCCAATGACTGCTTCCAGAGTTTCTTTATGTTTCTTCTTGTGCTTTCAGCTCAGGAAATTAGAGGATAATAAATTTGTCAAGTCTGATGATCAAATTGTACAAAACAGATGAACTGTACAAGCAGAGGGGAGGTGAGCATGTTACCAAACACCGCTGTCAGAGCACCAGCATGAAATTATTTCCTCTTCTTCTTTTTTTTTGGTACCAGGGATTGAACTTGGGTCCTTGTGCTTGCAAAGCAGGCAGTGAAACCACTGAGCTAAATCCCCGGCCCAATTTCCTCTTCTAAAACTCCAAGTCCTCTTGGCAATTTTACTTAGGAAAATTGCGTGCATCCAACAGAAAACTGGTATGCTCAATACATTTTCTGTATGTCATATATTCTTTGTGTGTTGTGTACTAAAGATTAAAAAAAACTGTTGCCAGAATTTAGGCATTAGAAGTAATATACTAATAAAACTTTTTAAAAGACACAGGAAATGTTGACTTTCGCCCAGAAGGAAGTTGGGTTTGGAGGACAATGAACCCAAGACACACTCTGTGCCAATCACCCGCCTCATGGGGCGACTTCAGCAGGAGCCAGGTCAGCGGAGTGCCGAGAGAGCAGCTGCGGCCACTGTCCTCGAACTGTGGTGCCGCTGCTACCCCATGTCTGGTCAGGACCCAGCTGCCACGTGGCCCATCTCTCAAGGTGGAGAAACTGTTGGAAAACTCAGAGTTTCACTGCATGTCATGTTCTTCCTTGTGACCGAATATGCCGAAGCTTCGCTGGGGCAGCCAGGAACAAAGGCCCCCTGCCTTCCCATGGAGGTCAGCCAGTCCACGAAGGCCCCTTTCTCCCCGAGCAGGTGACACCCACCCTTGGGTCTCGGGGACTGGAAATAGTCGCTGACCTGTCAGCAAAGCTGTGGGCTCCTCTGTTGGGGAGTAGTGTGGGGGCCCCCTGGGAGGGGACAAAGGGTGTAGGGCCACAGATCTCCTGAACAGAACGGGGCAGGGCGGCAGCACAGAGCTCTTGGCAGCCCAAACCACGCACCCTGTGACTTCCATCTAGAATTTCTAAATGCATAAGCCATGGAGGAAAAGCTGGGCATGGTGGTGCACATCTGTAACACCAGCACTAGGAGGCTGAGGCTGGAGGATCGCTGTGAGTTCAAGGCCAGCCTGAGCCACGGAGTGAATTCAAGGTCCGCCTGAATTACACAGCAAGTCCCCGACTCAAGAGAATGAACAACAAAAAAGAAACCCAGAAAGCCATGGAAGGGCCCAGCCTCAGCGGCTACACCTGTGTAGCCTCTTGGCTCTGAGCCTGTCCTTTGTCCACCTCCTGAGCTCAAGGTGGTCTCCTCGAATAAAAGCAACAAGCCAGTGACTTAGACTCTAAGAAATTCAAGTCGGACTTCGGCTTCTCCAAGCAAAGCATGAGCACCTTCCACCCTGATCATGCGAAGAGCTGTCTGAAAACCGAAGTACAAGGGTTGTGTTTGGGTAACAGGCAGCTCTGGCAGTGGGCAAATACATGTGCCCAGTTCCGGAAGGCAACCTCCTGCCTGGTGAGAGCTCGGGGTGCAGATGCACTGACCTATGGCTGGCACCATGTCACCGGGTCCGGGAGGTAGGGGCGAGCTGGGTGCCACATCACCCAGGCTTCTGCAGGGGCTCAGGGCAGGAGGCCCCAGGGGAGAGGGGGATGCCACCCTCCCAAGACACCTGGGGCTTGCTGCAGAGGTCAGACAGGGAGGGACAGGCAAGGGCCAGAGGAAAGGCCTCAGGACAGAGCTGCCCCTGCTGATGGGTGGAAAAGGTAAGGTGCTACTCGGGTTTCCAGTCCTTGCTGTCCAAGAGCTGCTCAGAAGCTCCCAGAGCTCAGGAGGAACAGACCGTGAGGCTGAAGCGTCCGAGCTGGTCTGGCGTGGCGTGGCGTGGCGTGGCGTGGCAGAGGCGTCCCCAGCTCACGCTCGGCCTCGGTTCCTGCACGGTGGCTCACGAGTGTTTGCAGCAAAGGGTACAACAGGGACGGGACAGGGTGGCCCGCTAGCCCCGTTCAGCACCTTCAGCACACAATCCACGGGTTAGGAAACAATAAAAAGGCCCGTGCTTTGACAGTTATAATTTATAGAACACTCTGTACAAAAGCAGTCTGTAAAAAGCGGCTCTGGGCACTCAGAAGAAGTCCATGGCCTTCGGCCTCCTCTTGGGAGTGGCGGGCAGCAGCGTCCTGGTCCCCAGTATGGTGCTGGCGGGCATCTTCAGCACCCCGTGGAGGGGCCTCTGCTCCGGGTTGAAGGCCACTCGGGAGGGGCCCGTGGGGCTGACCAGGATGCTCTTGTCTGTCTTCCTGAACTCTGTCTCGAGGGAGAGCAGGGCCCCATGAAGTGTGATGTCTGTCCCTTCACACCCTCAGGCCCCAGGGAGGAAGGCAGCAAGGCTGCTTCTAACTCGGGGAGACATGGAGGGCACCAGACAGCAGGGCCCTGGGGACGGGGGTCTGTGACGGGCTGTGCTAGCCAGGTGAGCTGCTCACCGACCTCCACGCACCTCTGCTCGCTGGACACGTGCGTGTGCTGCTCCTCACACACTCAGGCCCAGGGCAGGGCTCTAAACTCATCCGATGCTTTGAAAAACAAACCCATGGCACCGCTCTGAAGGCAGAAGAGGGGGACGTCCCTCCTCTCTGTGCCTCAGGAAACAGGTGGTCCTGAATTTTAGCAGAGGCAAATGTATTGGAGGCAGCAGGGCGTCTCCAATGGTCCCTGCGAGACACCCTGACACAGCATGGAGGTGTCTGGGCACCTGGCTCTGACAGTTTTTATCAGGTGACCTCTCAGGAGGTCCGGGACCCCACATCGGTCCGATAAAAGCCTGGCTCCAGAACCCGCTGGAAGGGGCAGGGCCTCAGCCATACGCACACACTCACCTGCAGTCATGTTCCTGTTCAGCCCAAAGGTGACTTTCTTGGAACTGGAGGGGGCTTTGTTCAGCTGCAGGAGAGAAGTTAAGAGTAGCAGCAGGAGTAACACATTGCAATTGAGGTACTTTGTCTCCCGGAGATTTCCCAAGAATCTGCCCAGGAGGGAGGGCCCGCAGGACCTGGGTTTACTGCCCTGAACTCACCCACAGATGTGAAGGGTCAGGGATAGATCCTATCGTCTAACACCGGGCCCCCACGCAAGTCTACCAGGACCCTGGCACCAGACTTCCCGGCCTGTGGCACACACCTGCCATCCCAGCACGCTGGGAGGCTGAGGCAGGAGGAAGGAAAGGTCGGGCCCAGCCTGGACAGCTTAATGACTTAGTGAGACCCTGTCTCAAAGTAAAAAAGGGGCTGGGGAGGTGGCTTAAGACGAAGGAAAAATTACATTTGTTCCCATTCAGAAAATCCCTAGGAGCTAAGCCACTCTGCACTGCGAAGCACTGCCTCCCTCCGGTTGCTCCTGGAACGCCGCGCGGCTGTGTGAGTCTCTCACGTGTGTCACACTCTCCCGTGTGGACACCACCACGCTCACTCTGAGGAGCTGGCTCTGAAAGCTTGGGCCCACCCCGGAGGCGAAGGCGCGTGGCCACACCTCAGACCCACACCACCCCTCGGGGTGCACCCAGCCCAGGGAAGAGAGATGCCCCCAGGCTGCGTGTATCCCAGGTGGGGGGCCGTGGAGGGCACACCTGGAAGGCAGGACCTGGAGGGCGGGCGGCAGAGGTGCTCTTTGATTTCCTAAAGAACAGGGGCTTTGGTAGGAGGGGGGTGTTGAACTTCACGAAGTCGTTCTCCAGCCTCAGGGGTTTCTTCAATGGGGCTCGAGTTCTGCTGCTTTCCTGTGGGAGCAGGGCTCATGTCACACCAGGAAGTGATGCCAGGGCTGCGGGGCGGAGCCCCCCGAGGCAGCCCCCACCGATCTGATCCCCTGTCCCAAGCTGTTGCTTCTGGCCCAGTTTGCCCAGAGCCCTGCCCCAAGCAGAATGCGGACTCCATGCACATCATGGCTCCCACTCCACGCCCAGCCCAGGAGACTCAGCAATCAAAATCCACTTTTATTATCTTCACCTTGAAACTTAGGCTCCCTACTTTCAGTAATTTTGCTTTCAAAGTCCATCTGTTAAATAATTCATCTTGTAAACTGTGATCAGCCAGGCGTGGTGGCACACACCTGTGATCCCAGCACTCAGGCGGCTGAGGCAGGAGGATCGCAGGGAGCTCAAGGCCACTCTAGGCTACACACTGAGTTTGAGACCAGCCTGAACTACATAGTGAGACCCAGTCTCAGAAAAGGCCTCGTAGGTCCCTTCCCAGAAGTGGAGTGCCCTCTGGGTGGGTTAACCGGCAAGCCCTCAAAGCAAAGGCCGGGCCCTGGCTGTGTGACATCAGGTGTCTGGGAAGCCCAGTGCAGGGTGCTATGCAGGTGGTTCGGGCAGTTCCGGACCCTCCTGGCTGGAGGTCCACTACCTCGCCTCTGCAGCTCAGGTGCTCTCCTGAGGTCCCCACCTCTGTCTGCACAGACCCTGGCAACACCAGTCCCACTGGGAGAGAAAAGCTCCTTTGGGGCGACCGCCTCACCGACCGCCTCACTCCGCTCTAAACCAGGCTGCCAAGGCTCTGAGCAACGAGACGCGCCACGAAGGGGACACCGCTGGCCAGGCGCTCCGGCTAGAGAGGCCTCGGAGGCCCAGCTCTGCACTCTGCTCTCCCTTGAAGAGGCTTTTCCTGCCACTTAACACACTCACCTGGCCACAGAGACAGCCCTGCGTCACGGCCACTGCTCAGCAGTGTGGAGACGCTGGTGCTGAGCAAGGGGCAGCAGGCTTTTTTTGCAAAAGGCCAGGGAGGAAGTGTTTCCAGCCTTGCGGGGCCTACCCTAGGACCTACCCATGCTGCCACGGACAGTGTGTACAGACAGCGGGGCTGTCCCACCGGAACTGCCGTGCTGACCTGGCATGGAAGCACAGGGGGTCTAGAGCCAGGGCAGGGGCAGGGGCGAGGTCACAAGCCTGGTTCCTGCACCCCACCTTTCAGCAGACACGCACGGGTGTGAGCATTCCGGGCGTCCTCCGTGCCACAGGGGCCTCGGGGCCAGTGAGTGACGGAGGCCGGCACCGGCCCAGGCCTAGCGGTGACCCCAGCTACACGCCGACCTGCCTGACCTCTTGAGTGCGTGGCCACCGACACGAGTACCTGCTGTGTACCGTGGCATATTCTACCCGCTGCACCGCTGCCAGTCCAGGTCTGACTGTCCCCAGCCTCCGCCTCCCCAGGACAGCAATGGCCCAAGGACACGCCGTCTGCCAGCCCCAGCTCACCTACCCAGGTCCTGCCCATCTTACCACAGCCTGGAGCTGCTGGACCCTGGACATCAGGACCCCATTATTCTCCACCAAGTTTGACACCTCCTTCATCTTCTTCCTCTTCTTGGACACCGAGGTCTTCTGGCTGGACAGAGGATAGAGGTCAAGGTCCCCTGGCTCCACCTTCTTGTGCTGAGGCCTCCTGCACTGGGGCAGGGTGGCCTGGCCAACGTTTCCTTCCTTCTGTGCTTGAGGCCAAGCCAGCATGCCCAATCCACTGCCATTGACCGGGAGAGCCCCGAGTTTCCACTTTCTTTTAGGGACCTGGGCTCTGTCTGTCGGGGAAGCTCCAGCGGCAGGGGCTGGAGGATGCCTGCTGTCCTCTGGGAGCAACACTGTGGGTTCCCAGAGCTGCCCTTGCACCCTCAGGCTCCTTTTCTTCTGCCGCTTCCTCTTACTGCGCCCAGGGGTGGAGCGGGACCGCTCCAGGCTGCCCTCAGACAAGGTGCTGGGTGCGGGCTGCGCAGCCCCAGGCTCTTGGGTCCCAGTTCCGCTCTGGGTGAGGGAGGCGGCTGCATCACTGGGGCCGCAGGTCCCAGGCTGGCCGGGCTGGCCGGGCTGGCCGGGCTGGCCGTGGTTCTTCTTCCTCTTTCTCCTTTTTCTCTTCTGAAGGCTGCTTTCACTGTCCTCATCCCCAGCAAGACTGGCTTTGTTCCCTGCAGAGACACACACACCAATAACAAGCTCCCACCTCTGCGGAAGGAGTCTTGGTCCAATTCTGAGACAGCCGCTAAACACCAGTTCGGGGATTCTTTTGGTGCTACTGCACAGGCTCAGAGTTGAGCTGGATTCCTGGCCGCTGGGTCTTGCGGTTTTTACTACCAGAAAGTTCTAACCTCCTCAGTGTGCCGGGTGCACCCACTGGCATCTGTTCCTCCCCGTGACTGTGACTAGAAACCTCCCTTATGCCACGTCAGTAAAAAGGGACCGAAGCAGCCAGGTTTCCAATCATTTTCCAGGCCAGAAGGTCAAAGCCGCAGATCCAGGGCAGTAATGAAACCTGTGCCTTGAGGCTGGGGTGAAGACCAGCACTAGGCTAGAGCATGCTGCTTAGCATTTGCAAGGCCTGGGGTTTGATCCCCAGCACTGGGAAAAAAACAACAGCAGAAAACAAAAGCCCAAGAAAAAACTCAAAACCAACAAGACAGCAAAACTGTTCCCAAGGGCAGCATATGCCAATCACAGTTCCATAGAAAACTCAGGAGACAAAACTGTACTTCTCAGCTCTTGAAAACAAGCCTTTTACTGCAGTGACACACGAGGCCCTGTGCTCAGAGCCCCTCAGCAGTGCGCCTTCTCCCCAGGCCCCGCCTGCAGCCCTCACCTTCCTCCATCCCCGGCCCAGCTGGCTCCAAGGGTTTCTTTCTTTTTCTCTTCAGTCTTCCTTGGCTGAGGCCATGGTCATTTTCATCAGCAGAAACGTCCTCAGAGAAACCAAGGACAGATGCCCCACCTGTGAGGGGCCAGCACCAAACGTCAGCCCTGCCAAGGCGAAGAGCTAGCTCTTACCGAGCCCTGGGGTGAGATTTCCAGCCACACCACCTCCCCGGCTAGACACTGGTGACAGAACTACACACAAAAACCCGGATTCCTCAACCCAGCGAGGCGTGGGTCACGAACCATGGCTGACCCTGTGCAGCTCAGCCCTGGCTCGTGGTCCTGTCCCCAACTCCAAGTGCCCAGCAAGGAGCAGAGGATGGATTGTCAACTTGCTCACCTATAACTGAGCCGAGCAGCTCACTTTGTAGTTTGTTTTTTAGACTGGGAGCTGAACCCAGGGCCTTCACACTGGGCTACATCCCCAGCTCTTTATTTTTATTTTGAGACAGGGTCTTGCCAAATTGTCCAAACTGGGCTCGGAATTATGATCCTCCCACCTTAGCCTCCCAGAGTGCTGGGATTACAGGCGTGTGACACCACACCCAGTTCATCTGATCCATTATGAAATCAAATCTGATTTCTCAAGAGTTCTTTTCATTGGTTTTTATGATCAGTGTTTTCCTGGGGACCAGCTGCTGTAAAGCCAGGCACACGACTGTAATCCTAGCACTCTGAAAGGCTGAGGCCCAGCCCAGGCAATTCAGCAAGACCCTAGTTCAAAAAGAAAACAAAAATGAAAAAGAAAAGGGCTGGGGATGTAGCTCATGGGGGAATTCCGGGTTTTACTTCTCAGTACCACACGCACACGTGTGCACAAAGCATCTTCCTCGACAAATAATGCACCCAGTTTAAAAAACAAGGAAAAGCCAAACAAAACCCTGCACTACCCCATGAAGAGAGCAGCCTGGCTGTGGCCCCTGCGTTTACAAAGTGCTCAGGATGGAGAGCAGGAAGCGGGCTGCGGCGGGGTGAGCTAGGGGTAGGACTCTCATCCTCAGGAGACCCTGTCAGTGAGTGACTGTCAGGCCCCTCTCCACATCGGGCAGAGCCGCTCTTGGTGGGGCCAGCATCTGAGTTACAATCTGACTCTCCTCACCTTCAGAGAGGTCTTGGAACCTGGAAAAGAGAACAGTACAAGAGTCCATGGAGAAACCTTCTTTCTGTCTTCTCCACAGGCCGCCCAACTGTCATCAGCTCACTTTCCTCCCCAGCAGGAAAGGCCCCAAAGAAGCCCCCAGGGGAAGGCGGGCCCCTGGTATGACACCAGGGAGGGCCCAGGAGGGGACTGCTCTATCACCACCCACAGGGCCATGGGCTCTGACAAGCCTCCTTGGCGCGAGAAGCATAACCATGAGCTCAATGCTCCTCCCTTGTTTCTGAAGGCAGCAAGAGCTGAGACCTCGCTCAGACAGGCCAGCGCACTCCACCTAACTCCAGTGCGTTCCGACAGGGTGAGGCCAGGCACTTGGGAGGCAGCTGGGTCCAGCCCGGACAGTGGCAGCCTCCGCCCGCTAGTGCCCTCCCCCAGGCCCTCAGCCACCCAGCTATGAGCCGGGGAGAGGAGCCAAGCTTACGGGCACAGGCCTGTTGTCCCAGCACTCAGGGAGGCTGAGGTAGGAGGATTACAAGTGTGAGCCCAGCCTGGGCAATTTAGCAATTTATCAAGACCCTGTCTCAGAATAAAAAGTAAATGAGGGGCCGGGGATTCAGCTCACTGGTGCCGCCTCCTGCCTCGCAAGTGCTAGGTCCTGAGTTCGATCCCCGGTACCGTAAAAAATAAATAAACAGATAAATGAGGGGTAGGGATGCAGCTCAGTGAGACGGCCCAGGGTTCGATCCCCAGGACACCCTCCAACACACACACACACACATACACACGCACACACACACACACGGGGCCTTCTTGACCTGAATGACACACGGCAGTGCCCATACAGAGAGGGTAAGACAACTGACATTTCCCACGAGTCACAGTAGTCAAGGGGCTTGAAGGAACCCCACGTCACCCACCATGCGTCACTGCAGTTGGAGACGCTGGCACTGACTACTGAACTAACCCTTCTGGCATAACTCTGCTCGCTGAGAGGCGAGTGCCAGGGCAGATGGCTGAAGCCCACCCATCTTAGCAGACTGGCCCCACGTCTCTCCATCTGTCACTTGTGGGCAGTAGTAGGAATCTCTCTACGTCACATAAAACAGCTGAAAGAGATGAACACAGCAGCATTTGAACAGAACTAGAGGAGCAGGGGAAGCCATCTCATTAAACTTTCAGTTTATGCACATGTTACTCTGCTGTGAATAAAGAAATCAATGAATGCTGGTGGGAATGCAGACTAGTACAACCACTCTGGAAATCAGTGTGGAGACTCCTCCAAACACTGACACTAGAGATGCCCTATGACCCAGCTGGTTCCCCTCTAGGTATCATCTGGAGAATTAAAGGCATCATGTTACAATGGTCCATGCACACCCATGTTCATAGGAGCACAACTCACAATAGCTAAAGCTTGGATGTGGCCCATATGTCCATCAACAGATGAATGGATGAAGAAAGTGCGGTATTTACACACCATGGGGCACCACTCTGCCATAAAGAAGGACCAACTGAGTCATCTGCAGGAAAACGGCTGCCCCTTGCAGCCAGTAAGGCTACGTGAAATCAATCAGACACGGAAGCTTAAATGTTGCATGGTTTCTCTTATATGAGAAACCCAAAGTATAAATAAATTGAAGAGCAAGATAAAAAAACAGAAGAAACAGGAAAACAGACCCATTACAGACGGGAAGAGGACCAGGAGATGGAGGGAGGGGAGGAGAGAGGAGGAGAGGACAAAAGAATGATGAAGAGGAAGTCTGTACATTCACCACCTCCCCCGAGGAATGTGACCAGCATCAGCTGCAAACATGGACTAACAAAAATTAACAGTTTTTAGAGGCAATGAAGAAAAAAGAGAAAAAGGTAAGCAGAGAGCTGGGCCCACCCCAGGACATAATCAAAGGGACCCACGAAGCCAACCGCTTACTTCCTGATTAGCTTGCAGAGGCGCTTCCGGTTGAAGGGCGGGATGTTTTTCCCGCTGGTTACTTCTAGGAGTCGGTCGGCAAGGGCCTTGTAGTCAAACTGTGAAGAGAAGGGCAGCATAAGCTGGTGGCTGTGCAACACCTGCGGATGGGAGGCTCCCGTCCCCGAGTGACTGACAGGAGACTCTCCGCGTGGTGCTGATGCTGGCCACCTACGTGTGAACTCTGCTCTGAAAACCATGCTGTTATTCCGGGAGAGCCTTGAGGCCAGCGAATCCTTCCCTCCTTTCAATTAGGGCACAATACACGCAACAAAATTTGTCCAGATGTGTTCCTTTTTCAGTTTAATCTAGATTTCCAGTCTGTATTTGGTAACACAGGAAACGTTTTTACTTGGAAGCGCTGCAGTATAAAGTACGTAACAGATCTTAGCAACTCAAAATTGAAAGACCTGTATCTTTCAAAATTCTACTCCATTTAAAAAAACAGCTGTTTTTTCTTTTCTTTTTTGTTTTTTGCAGTACTAGGGCTCAAACCCAGGGCCTTTCCACTGAGCTACACCCCCGACCCTTTTTTTACTTTTTATTTTGAGACAGGGTCTCAGTGAGTTGCTAAAGTGGCCCAGGCTGGGCTGGAACTTGCAATCCTCCTGCCTCAGCCTCCCAGAGTCCTGGGATCACAGGGGTGCACCACCATGCCTGGTCTCCAATAGGCTCATTCTAAGAAAGGCGACATCAGTGACAAAAGGGATTACAGAGGACTTATACCTCAGGCTCTGCAGCTTAATCAGCTCTGACCCAATTCTCCAGCTGGGCTCCCCCCTCAACCCTGGATCTCTTTTCTACAAACAGCAACAATCGTCCCACCTGGAGAAGCTGCCCCATGTCCTCGAGGGTTCCACAGTCATGTCTTTCTCTGTCACCACTGATCCCAACTCTCCTGGAATGGCATTTGCCCAGCACTGTCAAAATACACCCAAAGACAAAATTCTTGACACAGAAAGTACACAGCAATGACCACTTCCACATCTAACTAGGTGGCTTTCGGTGACAAAATTTCTTCAAAGGGAAACCCTGCGCCTGCAGTTACATCCCGAAAGGCGCTCTGGCTGTTCAGGCCCCTGGAACAGGGTTCACCCAGGAGAAAGCACATGGTCGACTGTTGCTATCACAGCTATGCCACAGGCAGAACCATGGAAGCCCCGCTGCCTTGGGTGGTCCCTGCCACATGCTCTGTCTTCAGGGTGGGGTTCAGGGGCTCCAGCTGGCAGACCAGGACCTCGTGGAGGGCAGGCACCTGGGAGACGGCCACGAGAGCCAGTAAGTTCAGGGCACAGTGAAACCTGCTTGGTCGGCTAAGCAGCCCTTACCAGAAACACTGGAGACCAGAAGTGTTTTTGGATTTAGCAGCTCTTGGCATTTTAAAGACCTGCGGAATTTACAGTTGAGCATCCTTTACCCAAAAATGTGAAATGCTCCAAAATCCAGAACTTTATGAGTGTCATGTTGGCAATCAGAACGTTCCAAATTTGAATTAGTGATGCTTAACCTGTGGCAGTGCACGAACTTCTCACAAGGCTGCCCCAAGAAGCACCCAGACTTCTGCCATCTATACTTAACATTTTGGTCTATTCTGTCTTTTCTTTGAGGGATTTGCTGTTTTTTGCTTTTTTTGTTTTTTGTGGTACCAGGGATTAAACTCAGGACCCCGTGCTTGCCAGGCAGGCGGGGCACCACTGAGCTAAATCCCCGGGCCCAACATTTTGGTCTATTATTGCAGATTATTTAAAAATGTTTTCTGGGGCCAGGGATTGAGCTCAGTGGTTCCACCGCCTGCTTTGCACGAGAAAGGACCCGAGTTTGATCCCCGGTACCAAAAAAAAAAAAGTAAAAGGAAATAAGTAAAATTACTTAGGGCTGGGGACTTAGCTCAGTGGTTTTGCTGCCTGCTGCGCAAGCGCAAGGCCTAGAGCTCGATCCCCGGTACCAAAAAACCAAACAAACAAACAAACAAAATTCATTATGAAGAAAAATGTTTTTTGGCCCGGGGATTTAGCTTAGTGTTTCCGCCTCCTGCCTTGCAAGAATAAGATCCCGAGTTCGATCTCTGGTACCAAAAAAAACAGCCTAAAAATATTTTTTAATTTAACTTTTTTGAGACAGGGTCTTGCCATGTAGTCCAGGCTGGCCTCAAGCTAGCAATCCTCCTGCTTCAGCCTCCCCAAGTGCTAGGATTACAGGCATGCGCCACCACACCCTCCTGTTCTTCTGGATTTTTAAAGACACAGGTAAGCATCAGTCTCCTTCTACATACTGTTTTGTGTCTTGCTCTTAAAAAAAAAGTTACTGAATTTCCACTGGTCATTAGATTTGGGAAACTGCTTCTCAGTAGATAGAAAACACTTCAGAAGGTAGTGAATTCTGACCTGACCACTTCGCTTTGGGCACCGAGATGCCACAAGCTCCTGGGGACAGAAAGCAACAGTGGGAGCAATGTCAGCCCATGGCAGGTGCTTAATCACCCAAAGGGAAAGAACCTTAAGGAAGTCGGTAGGAAAGGAGTCAGGGAAGTGAGCTCTGGCTCCTAAGGACTGCACGGCAGTCTCCTGCACAGGAGGCTCTTCCGTTGCACACGCAGCAGGTGTGCACACAGCAACCCGACAACAGCAACAAGTGAAACCCTCCCGGAGTGCAGAGATCCCAGGAGAGACCCAACACGAGCGAGTCCACATGTTGGGTCTCGGGTCTCCCCAGGAGCCCTAAGAGGCACAGGTGCTCTACTGTACCCCGCTTCCGTTCTCAGGAGTCCTGGGCAGAGTCCCTCCACTCACCAACTCCAGCCTGTGTTCAGCGTTCGCTTGATGAGGATTTACAAAAGGAAACAGAAAACCGATGCAGAAAGGTGGAGAAGAGGCAGGTATGGTGGCACATGCCTGTACCACCAGCTACCTGGGAGGCTGAGGCAGGAGGACTGTACGTTGAAGACCGTCCTGGACAACTTAGTAAGATGGAGTCTCAAAATAAAACAATGAAGCAAAGACAAAAACAAACAAAAACCCCTCAAAGGAATCGTCTCACCTGCCTTCTTTCTCACTGCTTTTTTGCTCAGTGTCTCATTCCCCGGAGTTTCTTCTCTGGAGAGGTCACTGTCAACCCCATTCTGTTCCTCCACTGCCTCTTCAGGTACAAAGGAAGACTGATCTGCGATGACTTCAAAAACACCCCTAGCTATAGTCTGCACCAGTGTGTGGCTGGGGGTAGAAGCACAGCGGGGAGAACACGGTTACCACGGTGGGTGGGACCGGCCTGAAAGAGCATGGAGGGAGAAGCAGGGGCGCTGTGGCTGAGACCACAGTGGGGCTGAGGCGTGGCAGTCTTGGGGCTGGCGGGCACCTGGAGCCCGAATGACAGTGCATGAGGTCCGCTGTAGATGCTATGATCTCCAAGTGCTGTGCGGCAGGCTGGGAGGTGCGCAGCAGGTGGAGTCCTGGGAGTGGGAGGGCCGGGTGAAGGCTTTCTTCAGCTGTCTCATCAGCAGGAATCGAAGCATGCTGTCTCCACTCCGGAGAAGCATCCGGCTGCCCAGCACCACCTCTCACAGACCCGGGAAGTATCAACCAGCAGTGCAGACACTTACTCCTTAGTCTTGGCAGCAATCCTGCAGAACGGGTCAATAAACTGGAGGTTCTGATCTGCCAACAGCTGTAATCGCAGACATAAACAGGAAACAATGAGGAAAAGAAAGCCCCTCTCTTTCCTGAGCATTTCTCCTAGGGGGAACCAGACACACACACGTGTCTCAGCAGACCCCAGCCCACTTTGCCTGAATGCTGGGGCCTGCACCAGGCTCAGGGGGGCCACCTCCAGCCACCCAGCTAAAAAGGTGCCACTTAACATAGCTTGGTCTCATGCCTTTTCTCTCTGCTCCCAAAACACTCAATACATCCTGAGGACTCTCTACACTATTGAATTCGTTACTGGGCTCTGTAGGTTGCATTCAATTGTTCTTTTTTTCCTTCTTCTTTTCTTAGAGACAGACTCTCCCTATGCTGACCAGGGTGGCCCCAAACTCCTGGGCTCAAGCATTCCCCCTGTCTCAGCCTCCTGAGGCTACAGGTTGGTTTGCTGTGCCTGGCTCTGTTTTGTTTTCTAAGACTGTCACACACATCCTTAGTGTATAAACCTTTGTCCACATGTCCCAGTATCTGCTTAAGTCACACCCTGGGTGGGGAGTAGCTGAGGGGTTGAACCAATTTATACCACTGTGTCACGTCACCGTACTGAGTGGCAATGGGCAGTGACGACTTACTGACAATTCCCACAGCAGCTGAGGCCCCGTCCCACTGCGGGCAGAACATCCGCCAGCTTCTTACCTCCTGCCCTCCGACTCTGGACAGCTCGTCCAGGTAAATGTCAATGAAGTGGAACCTGATGTCATTGGGAGACTGACTCTCGGGACCCAGGAGCTCCTTCATCAGGACATCTAGGAACAGCTGGATGCGACTGGAGGGAGACACATGCAATCTTTTAATGACAGTGTGCCAACTCCTCTGCTCTCTGAGACAGAAGTGTATTTAGTGCTTATTCTGTGTGACCCAAGGCTAAGTTTTACAGGAAGAAACGATCACATACATCACTATAAAATGTCAGCTTGCACATGGGTGTAATCATTTTATGCCACTCTACTGGAAATTAAGTCCTCTCTGGGTAAGAACACATTTTGTAAAAGGTACAAAACATCCTACAATTTCTTTCCCCCATGGTGCAGGAATCAAAACCCAGGCCTCAGGGCAGGCTAAGCAAGTGTGTTCTACCAGCAAGCTGCACTTCCGCTTTACAAGTGTCCAAGCCCCCCACACTTACTAACCAAGCAGTTTCCTAACCTTTCTTGCCAGCCGTTCTGCTTCAGAACTTCCAAGGACTGCCGCAGGACCAGGCGGATCAGCTAAAGACAGACAAGTTTTGTTAGAAAAGGGAAAGGAAGAAGAGCATATGGCACTGCTAGGGATCAAAGCCAGTGTCTCACACGTACTAGGCAAGCACCCCGCCACTGAGCCACCCCCAGCCAGGACAGAGATGTTTATCAGCCTGGATCCCCTTAGGAGAACGAGATCCACAAGCACATTTAACTTCTAGATCAGAAAATGTTCACAGAGGGTCCCCAGACCCTCTAGTACTGAGTGAGGATTGAACCCAGTGCCTTCAAACTGAGCCAAATCCCCAGCCATTTGGAAAATTTTGAGACAGAGTTGCTAAGTTGCCCAGGCTGGGTTCAAACTTTCCATTCTCCTGCCTCAGCCTCCCCACCGCCCTGCCGTGCTGGGGATGGAACCCAGAGCCTCATGTGTGACAGGCAAGGGTGCCACCACCAAGGTGCCACCACCAAGCTGCCACCCTGGCCGCCACTGGCCTTACCATATAGTATTTGTCCAGGTGCAGCTGGTCTATCTCCTTCCATTCTCGATTCATGGTTTGCCAAAAGGTCCGAATGAACAGGTACTCTGCAGAAAACAAGAGGCTCTGAATGCGTGGTTTCCATGTAAGGTGACCACACAGCAAGAAGACAGCGGAGAGAAACAAAGTAGTCTTTACTCACTTGTTTCATGAATTCTCAGGCAGCTGGAAACTTTGGCCTATAACTGAACAATCAATCACTTTCCTTGTATTTACACAAGAACACAGTAACAGGAAGGCAGGTGATAGCTCCCCATCAGAATGCACCCCAGGGCATTTCTATTTATCCAATGCCAAACCAGGGTTCTATTAAAATCAAGATTCCCTGATTCACACCCAGATCCTTTCCAATGCACCCTTACCCAACAATCAACTTAAAACCATTAATTAAAAAAAAAAAGACCCATTAGTCTTGATGAACACGCGTACGACTCATGTGGAAACACAGTTTTTTTGCTGGCTGTTATGGGTCATGTAGGTGAGCCATAGTACCAACTATGGCACTTTTTCATTGGATTTCTTTATTTTGAACATACTTTTTCTGCACAATTCTTATTATATGCAAACCTATCTTATACATCCTATGTAGAATTTTGTTCATTCCAAGTCAGCTAAGTTAGATCCACTGAAGATTACCCAAGTCACTTGGTGGTTTTGCTCTGAGGAGTGCTAAGCAGAACTAACACCCCTGATGTTGTCTTCCTTTGTACATAATCAAAGCCCGTCTCAGAAATCCCTATTTTGCCCTTTGTCTTTTCTTCTTGGGAGGAAGGAATTACTTTACAGTTCACTACCAGTGATGTCCTCGATTGACAGACTGATTGATTGATCACCAGTGATGGGTCTAATCTTGGGGGAGATGTGCCAAGCATCAGGGATACTGCACGGGCTACACACGAACCTATGGCTCCAAGTGTGTTACAGTGACTCGATCTGGGAGACTGTGGGGACAGCTGATGCTAACAATCAACTGCCCAGTGATGCTCCACAGGACACCTCCTTCACGCTCTGAGAATCAGATCTAGCATATGATTAAAAACTACACTAGCTCATCTCATGACACGATGCAGGTTTAGCACCAGCTGGCACCCTGGGAAGCGGAAAATGAAGGAAAAAGAAACCACACTGACTCGATTTCCTAGGCAAGTTAGTAGACCAATGAACAAGGAGTTGTGAAAGCCATGAAAGCATCAGGACTTACGGGCTTCCGAGTTGTTAACAACGTGGATGAGTTGGGAAATAGTGTTTGCCAGCTCCTCCTGCAAAGGTGGGTTGGGGAGAAACCGGATTATGGTTGAACTGTGACACCACACCCTGGCCTGCATCCTCCTCCCTCCCCACTGGTGGGGAGGCCCGCGCTCCGGTTCTGGGTGCTCTGCCGCTGGGGCTGTGACTGTCTGGGTTTCACCAAACACGAAATTCCCAACTGCAAAGTGCTGCTGTGATTGCTTGATGTGATATGCCTCTGGGAAGTGCTTAAGTTGTGTGTCTGAAAACACACCTCGAGAGGCAGACTGAATGATCTACAGGAGAAACAAAGTAGCTGCAGAGCTGTCCCTAAACTCAAAGTCAGTCACAGTAGAGAAGTCCCCCAGCAGAGAAGAAAGAAGACACCGGGTTCTCACCCCAGACTCGCCTGTGGGATCAGAAAGTCCTCTGCCTGGTGTGGCCAGGGTGGGTGGGTTAGTGAGGACGTCCCGGGCTCCGCTCTGGACAAAAGTACCCTCTGACAGCACCCAGGCACAGTAGGCGCCATACAGGGAGCTCAGTGGCTGGGCCTACACCTCAGAGAATGTCAATAAATGCGCTCTGCTGTCAAGCCACCTAAGGACAAACCATCCTCACTGGCGCTGCTAACAGAACACCGAGCCTCATCCTCCTCACGTTTTAGATAAATCCCAGAGTGAATATGATGCTTCTGCTAGCTGGTTCTCTTCCCTCACTAAAGCTGCTGATTGTTACTTCTGACTGTAATCTGGAAATATTTTGACCGGCTAGCCTACTCAAAATATGTTCTGAAGAGGAAATAGCATGAACCGAAACAAACTGTTATTACACGGCACAGCAGAAGGGGCAAGGCAGCCCAGGAAAGGGACGGCTACCCAGGAGGGCTTCCGGCACGGAGGTCTGCACACACTTTCCTGCAGGGCTTACTCCTCCACCACTACCAAGGCAGACCTGCTTTCAGGTGTCACAACGAGACTTTTAAGAATGACCATTTTCTAAAATTGTTTTGTTGGCAAGGCTTAGGGGATAGGGGCCCAGGGTCACACACGCATTTTGGCAACCAGTGTAGCTTTCGCCAAGCTCTCCCGGTTAAACAGGCTTTTGCCATGAGGGCCTGGCTCATGCTCTGTAAGGTCCCTAAAGGACAGCAAGGTGGCTGCTGTGTCCCGCGTACCCAGCTAACTGGCAGGGTGGGCCTGGAGCTTGGTCTTGCAGGGCCTTAGCCCAGATCACACCTCTGTCTATAAACAGTTAGCTCAAGGCCTTAAAAACTTACATGGAATGTATGGGCTAATGACAGAAATAATAAATCTATTTTTTTTCCATTATATTTAAAAAGATATTAACCTAAAAGTGGATGTTGCATCCCTTTCTGTACAGACAAGAGAGAAAATGACCCCTTGAAGTGTTTATTTTCAGTCTGTTTAGGTATGCTCTGTCAGGGGCCAACGACTAAGTCTCTCTTCTTCATCCATGGCAGAGACCCAGGAACATGACCAGGAGCTGTGTTACCTGCAGTAGGGGTTCGTCCTGCACCCACAGGCAGTAGAAGAGTCCTTTCCAGATTTTTAGGAGTTCTTCTTGACTGAAACCTCCTACAGGGGAAGAGACAGCAAAAATAAATAAGTAAACAAATCTCTTCAGAGTCTACAGACTTCCTTTCTTTCAAGTTTAGAACTGTCACAAAAATGGTGCCAACTCTTCTAAATGTGAAGCACACGTTTTCTTTCCTTCAAAATAAATGCAGAGACTACTGCACACACAGCTTTGAGGGCACAGGGAGGGTGGCGTGGTGGTGTGTCCCCTGTGCTGAGTGTGATCACAACAAAGATTAACGCTCAGTGGAAGAGCACTTGCCTAGCGTGCATGAGGCCCTGGGTTCCATGCCCAGCACCACCAAAACCAAACTAAACTGAAGCAAAGACAACAGAACACCCCACGAGGGCTCATCTCCACAATCAGGTCCCACTGAGGCACACTTTGTTTCCAAGTGCTCCTCACACTGCACAACCTAAACGAAGAGGATGGGCAAACCCCAGGGGGTGCAGGACTCCATCAGACCGTCAGACCGAGCCCTCAGCCACGGGCAGACTTAGGGAGGGGAAGGCCCTAGGGGGCCGAGGCAACTTTGGAATGTTTGTAAAAGTGACCCTAACATGGTTATCCAACCCCATCTCCTTCCCTGTGACTGTCTGGGCGGTTTCAGCCGGTTTTAGGTGGCATTCCTGGGGTGGCCGTACTTTCCCTCCAGCCCCTCAGGGGCCCCCGTCTGCCTTTTTATCCAGGATGAAGCTACCAGGCTCCTCCAGCTTATAACTCCGGGGCTGCCCCAGGTGCCACAAAATAATGTGCCAGGTAGCGTCAGGAATCACAAATGGCGCCATAAGCTCAGGCTCTTGGTGTTTCTAAGCCCAGGGACCATGAAACTGGAAGTCAAACATCTTCCAGCTTCCATGTGTGTTACTAATGGCCTTTACTGATATATTACTAGAAAGTAGTAGAAAAACTTTTGTTTGAGTTTTGAGACAAGGTCTCAAATTGCTAAGCTGCCTGGGCTGGGCTCAGTCTTCCGTCCTCCTGCCTCAGCCTCAAGTGCTGGGATTATAGGTGTGCACCGCCATGCCTGGCAGGACAAATCTTTTGGGGGCAGCACACTGGAATAAACCAGATGAATGCAAACAAGTACACACTCGCAATCACTGTGACCTCAGAACTCAAAAGGTTGACTGAGTGACAAGCAGTGTCCTGGTGACAGGCAGGGAGTCACGTTTCGAGTGAGCTTACTCTATTTTGTACCCCGACTCCCAACTTGCTTTTCTCAGCAGCAGTCTTAGTGGCGATTTTGATTCTTCTGTGCTCATTTCCCACCTAAAACCAAGATAACAGAAACCACAGCAAAGTGAGCTAAAAGTGTATTTCCGGGCCGGGGATTTAGCTCAGTGGTTCTGGAGCCTGCTTCGCAAGTGCAAGGTCCCAAGTTCGATCCCCGTACCAAAAAAAAAAATAGAAGTGTATTTCCGTCCAGGGCTGTGCAGATGATATACCAACTGGTTTTCCTCCCTCTTGTTACAAAGGAGTCACATCTGGGGATTGTGACACTAGAATGTAAGCATGGCCCAGATGACACCAGAGCAGAGCCAACAGCAGTCAGGGTGGCTGCAGGAGGTGGCAGTGGCCTGCTCTTATTTCTTCTTTATCTCATTTTCAAAGACCATGTACATCCCCAGTGAACTGGTGGGTCTGCTCCAGACCGCGGGTGCTAAAACATTAGATAAAAAGGCACCGAGGGACTTGCAAAGGATGCGTCAGATCAGCAGCACCCAGACCCACTGCGCAATCCTAACGTCCACTGGTAATCCTTCAGTACATGCCAGAGGAAAAACAGAGACCAGCCTGTTTAAGTGCTCGAACAAAAAGAAAGTTAAAAATAAATAACCGAAACTGTATCAAATCTACCTACCTCCTAGCTTATGGGAAATCCAGAGCCAGGGGAACATCTTAAAACTAGACCTCAGGATGTAATTGGCAAAACCCTACAGGACAAATGAACCTTGTCTCCCAACAAATAAACTATGTAGGAAAAAAAGGTAAGCGCTGTTAGAACCTAAGTCAGCAGACATTTATTTACCAACCAAAGGCAACAGGTGGGTCTTGTCTGGATTTTGATTTGTCATAAAAATCACGTGAGTTGGTGGGAAAACTCAGCAGTTTGGTATTTCATGACATTAAAGGCGTAAGGATGGTACTGTGCTTATGTAAAGAGGAGCCTGTCCTTATCTTTCAGAGATGCACACTGAGGTATCTGGAACAGGGCTTGGGATGCCTGGGATTTGGTTCCCAAGAAGCCAGCCCAAAGGAGGAAGGGACAGATAAGACAATCTGGCCAGGGGCTGGAGATGCAGAAGAGTAGAAATGAGTTTGAAATTGTATTTCAGTTTGAAATACCCCTTAACAAAAACAAAACCAGAGATGAGATTACAGAATGGACTCCATGGACTACTTTTCTTTCTTCACTTTGTTTTTGTTTTTTTAAACAAAATGTGACGGGGAAGTCACAAACGCTGATGAACTTACAAGCAAAAAGAGGATTAAAGGAACTGAGGGCCTGGGCACTCTTGCTGCATGCTGAGCAGCTGCATTGCTGCCCCCTCCCCCAAGCTATCCACTTTCAGGACAAAGGGTTGTGGAAAGAGGCAGGGGTCTGGGTGGAGCTCACCCTGCTCAGAGGGGGAGGTGGCTGCAGCAATGGTCTTAAGCCAAATCAGCAGAATTCCCTCAGCCACTGGACCTTTCAGGAATGGAAAAAAGGTTGGGCATGGGAGCACACGCCTGCAATCCCAGCACTCAGGGAGCTGAGGCAGGAGGATTGATTGGGAGTTTGGGGCCAGCCTGGGCTCCATAGTGAGTTCAAGGCCAGTCTGAACTACATGGCGAGACCCTGTCTCAAAAAACCAAAAAACAAAAACTTAATTTGGCTTGGATGTTCTGTCAAGTGGCAACTTAAGAATCCTAACTAATGAAAACACATTTTCATTTAGAAATAAAAAACATCTCTTATAGACAGGTATAAAAATCACTTATTTTCACATTGGAATTTAGTGGGTAACAAGATATTAATTTCTGAAGCAATTCAAGGGAAGGAGAGAAATAGTATTTAATTTCTTTCAGAACTCTAAAAAGTGAAGTACCTATCTGAGGCACGATACTTCTGTTCCTGTTTCTTGTGTAATTTATCTTTTTTCCCAGGGATAAACTTACTAAACTTAATACAACTAAGTTTCTGACAACAATTTTGGTTTAGTTATTTTAAAATGAAAGAGTTGAACATGAAAGTGAGGACAGGAAGACACAGGAAATAGCAGTAAGTTTTGAAATGAGAACACAGTGGAGCTCTTCTCTCCTGAAAATGGGCACGGGAGCCATTTTAGATGGCGCGGCTTCGTGCTCTAACCCACCCTACACCCAAAACACCCACAAAGCCCACTTGAGATAACTCCACCAGTAAGAAACAACACTCAGGCCATCTGTCACCTCCACTAAAGCTACCACACCACCAACCAACCATAGATGCACTGCTGCTTTATAGGACACCAAAAAGGAAGCAACAACCCAAACAAAACTGTCACCAGTGTGATTTGAGATGCACTCGTTTTAGATATTAAATGTTTAAAGTACAGAGAGGGAGGGATTTTCCGGGTCACTGCTGTATTCCCAGTGCCAAGAACAGTGTACATCATAATGGCACACAGCTAGCATGTCATCGGTGTCTGCTGAATAGAGAATAAATGGCTAACTCAGGGCAAAGGCGCCTTCAGGACTAAAAGGCAGAGACTATTTCAGATGGCGTGGACTCAACTTGTTTTTAACAGTTCAGGTTGAGTTAGAGCGCACTGTTTTAAGTAGTGCAGATTTCCACTTTGTTACAGACCTATCTATTTGTTGCTGACAGATGAACACATTTCAGTAATAGCACAAAATCTCAGGTTTCCCGACAAGATGCAAACATATTTGAGCTTGTCAATGAGGGTCAAATGCCAGGTTGAGTTATTTCCAAACTTGTTTCTATTCTGATACAGCACAGCTGTGGCAGAGGCCGAACTTTCTTTTTCTGTCCGTAGGGTGATGGACCAGGGGAACGAGAGAACTGACTCTGGATGGGTGTTAGCGAGGCAGGAGCCACAGCACTGGTGTAAACGAACTGCTTTCAGGACCCTGCACCACCCTCCACTCTTGAGGTCCTGGGCCTGCTCACTGAAGGAGTTCCAGCAACAGGCTGTCTGGGTGTCAGGTCTAGAAGGAAGGCACCTGTCCTTTCTCCTGTCCACAACCACGCCTTCATAAGGGGCTGGATGGGATGCTTATGGGTGGGGAAGAACAACACACCGACACTTAATTAAGCAAGGCTGCCAAGTACTACAATAGAGACAGCAGTGTTGGACCCCGGAGGTGCAGCAGCGGGCTGCTAGGGGAGGCTGTCTGGAGGAAGGGATGCCAGACTGCATGTTGGGAGTGGGGAGTGGAGAGGGCGCTGGATTCTTGCAGAGTGAGGAGACAAAAAAGCAAGGAGGTAAGAAATGGTGCACGGTACAACAGGAACTACAAATGGCTCTGCTGATGAAGCATGCAGCAGTCATGACCAGGCTTAGGCAGGGGCAGCAGATGAAGATATCATGACCCACAAACTCTGAATTTCAAAGAAGGTCATACAAGCAATCAGATTTCTTTCAGGAAGATGACCCTGGGCTGGTTAGTGGAGGACAAATTCAGGGGGTCACAAATGGAGTTCAGGAGATCAATTAGGGAGCAAGCAGGGGCAGAAGTCTGGGTGAGATAAAGGCTTCTATGGTTAGGACAGAGTAATTTAGAAAGTCAAAGTGGTAGGTCCAAGGCGGTAGAGAAAGGGAGAGGAGGAGTTCGAAGTAATAGGGCAATCCCCTGTCCAGCTAGAGCCCGAGTGGGTGGGCAGCAGAGGAGCAGTGGGAGGAGGAGGAGGAGGAGAGAAAAGTTCTTTGGGGAAGCCCTTATGGGGGATTTTGAGCACCGAGTATGAGGTGCCTGTGGGACAACCAGGTGGAATGCCAGGCCGGCAGGGCACATCTCAGCCGAAAGTAGGAAAGGTCTGGGCTAGCAGCTTAGGTTTGGGAACCACTGGCACATATACACAGGAATCCTGAAGATAAGCACGCGGTAAACTGGCTCTCTCAGGGAGATCCTGGACAGAATTAAGTCTGGAATTTTGTTCCTCCCGCCTCTTCCCCCCCTCTGTCTCCCTCTCCTTAGAGGCGCGGTCTTGTGATCTCTCTTCAACATAAACTATGAATGTCACAATGAGGGAATATTTATTATTCTAAGCAGATTCCAAATGCACGATTTCCAGCAACTAAAACTTCAAGCAACTTGGTGCAACAAGAAAGCTCAACAGCACAGTGCAGTCCACATCTTCTGCATGCATACCAGGGTTTATAGAAACTCTTTTAGTCAGGTAAACAAGCATTGCACTGCAGTCAAAATCCAAATTACTAAGCCCCGATGGATCTGGCCACTGCCTCCATTTTGAATCTCATGTCAAACCAGCCTCTTCCCCAACTCAATAGTCTTCCCACGGTTCCTAGGGCAAGCTCAGCTCTTCCCTGCGTTTGCATCGCCGGCTTCCTCTCCGGTCTGTCCGGATTTCGGTTGGACATCACAGCGCAAGGCTCTCCGCACAGCCTCTGGAGAGGGGCTCCCTCACGCACTTTTCCATTCCCTGGTCTTCACTCCCTTCCCCGCACACACGCGCTCTACTCTACTTGCCACTTCCCTCTCGTTTCACCGCTGAAGTTCCTCGAGGGCAGGGATGCTGTTTGTCTTCTGCGCCCCAGCACCTAAAGGCGTCGCCGACATTTAAGAAAGGCGGGGATCAAGGACGAGAACCACAAAGTTGGGGCGAGGGCGAACCCAGCGTCCAGAGGCGCGGGCGCTAAAGCCCACAGACCTGGATCCGTCCCCCTTCGCCGATCACTGACGTCCAGCGCAGGCCTGAACCCCTGGCCGCTCTCCCGGGCTTGCGCCGCCCTAGGCGCAGCGCACAGGCGGCTGCACAGCCCCCGACGGCGCGGACTGCGAGCCCCCGGCCGGCGGCGCGGCCGCCATGTGGCGCGGCTGACCCGTGGGCGCCCACCTGTCTCCCTCTGCGTCTTCACGCTCAGGTACTGGCGCAGCTTCCTCACCGCCCGGTCGCGGACGCCTTTCTCGCTGGACGCCAGCCGCTGAGCGAACTGGATCTCGGCAGGCTGCATGACTGGAGCCACCGCGCCCGCCGGAGCACTTCTGACCGCGAGCCACCTCCGGCCGCTGGCCACCCGGGCCGTGCCTGCGCAGAAGCGGCAGTGGCGGCGAGGCGCGGGCTGATGGCGTCACCAAACGCCACCTCGGCGCTGCGGGCGGTGCTACCCGGCTGGGTTCGCGTAGTGTGTCCCAGAGTATCGGTTGCTGAAGTTCTCGGCCGTTGTTGGTGAGGTTAGCCAGGGTCCGGCCTTGGCCAGCAAGAGACAGACTTTAAGCGCACTTCCTAAAGCCGCGTCGGGCCGGTGGCTCACCTGTCGCCCCACCCACCGGGTTTCCCCGGAGCTCCTAGGTCCCCGGGTGGAGTTGAGACCGGACCTGGGCTGGGGATGCGGTGCCTCCAGGCCGGCGATCGTCTCCTCCCCGCGGTGCCCTGGGGCAGGTCGGACCGTATCACCGAAGGTCCTCGGGCCTGTGGAGCGCATACACAACACGGGAGTGGTAACAGTGCTGGGTCCTCGCGGAGCGAACAAATCTTAAAAGTTGTGCTGACTTTTCGGTCATCCAAAGCTCCAGGCTGTACCATGTTTTACAGATTTAGTGGGCATGCTGGGGAAGTTCCTGAACTTGGTGACTCCCCTAAACTTAGGGTGAACTAGGAGAATCCCACCTAGTTAACTGGGCCAAAATAACTGTACAGTCCTTAACATAAAAGCCCCTCGAGCCTAGCGAGGGACGTGGGCTGCTGGCTGTTGGCGATATTTCCCCCAAAGAGGGGGGCCCCCTTGCCAAATAGGAAAAGGTCCAATTCATCCTATTTTGCGTGACGTATACACCTGGATCTCATTTTTCATCTACTTTGCAGTTAACAAATTTAAAACCCTGGCTAAGCCAGAAGAGCAGAACTGGGACCCTGCTGACCACCACTGGATTTAAAGACTCAATGGTGCTTGCATTCCATGAGGTTTGAGCCTCGTGGCTCGCCATCCGGATTATCCAGCTGCAGCGTGAGCGCGTTCCCGCGCTTTCTTGCGTGTGGGGGGTCAGAGGGCGCCGCACAGGCGCACGGAGTCAAGGCCGCAGACATGGGCGAGGCGGGCAGCGCGACGGAAGCCTGCGGGGTTAGTAGGGAGGCCTGGCCTTATGCGCGTCCCACTTGTGGTTGTTTGCCCCCCTCAGGGTCTCTCCCAGTGTATAAGGAGCTATACCCAGGGCTGGTGTGGGCCAGGCCAGAGCAGGCGGGGAATGGGCTTGAAGCAGCCTTCACCTAAGTCTCTTCTGAAGATGGCGGGATGAAGCGACGGCGACGGACGGACGTGGAGTTTGAATCGTTGTGCCTTCCGAAGGCCCTGACTGCTTGCTGCAGGGCTTTGGTTCGGTGTGAGAAAATAGGGTACTGTAGACTTCTCAGTAGTGATGTCTGGTGCATGTGTGGGGCGAGAGTGTTTGGACTGTGGATCCAGTCCAGTGTTCTGCCCCGATAGCATTTCCTTCAAGAAAATCCCTCCCCGGATTGGGGTGGGTGTTAGATGGGGTGACCGGCATAAGAGGCGCCCTCCCTCTATTCCCAATCCTCCTGGTGTTGTGATGTCAAATTGCAAGCATTTTCTTTAACTTTTAGAAATAGGGGTCTTGTATGCACCCCAGTTTTTCTCTTTCTTGCTCCCTCATCCTCCCTTTCTGAGACGGAATCTGGCTTTGTTGCTCCACCAAGATGGCCTCAAATTTCTAGGCTCAAATGATTCTGCCCCCTTAGTCTCCAAGTAGCTGGGAAGACAGGTGTCTGACCGCACGCTGGCTTGATCCTCATTTTGAAGGCTGGGGCTTCAGCTCTCAAAGTGTTATACAATCCATATTCGTATCTGTATCAATCAGAAGCGGCATTAGGTAGAGACATGCTTTTGAAATAATTATGACTGTAAGAGGCATGAAAGAAGAAGAAGCAGATTGACTTGGGCTGCTGTTTAGTGAACTGAGGGGAAACATCATAAATTATTTTTGCTCTTTTCGCATATGGGAACTAAGGAAGAATTCGTTAGAGTCAGAAAGAAGGACTTGGACCGGCTGACAACTGAAGTGATGCAAATACGGGACTTCTTGCCCAGAATACTAAATGGGGAGGTCCTGGAAGGCTTCCAGAAACTAAAGATTTTAGAAAAAAGTGAGTCCTAATTTTATTTTTAGCATTTGCTGCTGCTGATAGTAATGTGTTCCAACAAATTTGACTTAGATATATAACTGTAAAGTAATTATAAATACATTTTAAAGTGTTGGTGTAGTTCTTGTAGTTCATTTGAGAGTCAGATAAAAGGTAAGAAAGGGTTAGAGATGCCTTCAGTGCATAACTTGCACGTGTGTATGTAGGTGTTGGGAAGGTTGCTAGCTCTCTGGACTTTTTAGTCTCCATTGCTCTCTTCCTTGGAAGAATCTTATACTATTGATATCTGAAAACTTCTACTCTGAAAATTAAGTTCATTCTTGTGAAAGTTAAAGATCTTCCCACATGGAAACCTCATGTGGAGCTAACTGCAGAGACAGCTGGTTTGTGTTCACTTGTGACGAGATGGGTGGGAGAGTCAGTTTCTATTACTGTTGTAAGTGCAAGGTTGCTAGATCTTGTGCATTCAGACTATCGAGATTTGAGCTGAGCCATTATGTCACATACCAGCCTATGAGCCTATTAAAGTTCTTGGAGATGCTTCAAGCTTGATTCAGCACTTGCCTGATTGAGCTGAGTTAGGACTGCCAGCTTTTGATGATAGGTTAATCTCCACATCATATTTCACTCAGCCATTACGCCATGGTATCTAGAAAAGGTGCATCCCACGGGGGCCCACGTTATGTTTCTAGCACTGGTCCAGACAGGAAGGTACCCTGACAAGAGTATGAGTTTCTGGTTTGTGCAGATGTGTCAGGCCAGCCCTATCCAGTTAGAGAAGAAGATGCTCATGGTTCCCATCCAGCCCTGCCCTATTCTCCTAGGAACCCTCACACCCATCCTCCCCTCTTCGCTGTGCTGTGCCTGGATGGTGGAGCCTGCAGACTGGCTGGCAGGGCGCACTGAGAAGGGCATGGCTGGACAGAGGGGCTCCACCCCTCCAACCAAGGTTCCCTCCTTGTTCTCCACAGTCCACCTCTCACTGAGTTCCAGTCATGCCCCTTCTACCCCTTTAGCTGTAAAGCTACTACCACTCCCCGAGCATCTCACCATTCCTTGTTGATGTCCTTATTCCTGTCTTTCCCTCTGGAAATAGACCTTTCGCTTATTAGGTCTCTGCTGGATATACTCCGGGTCTGATTTCTTAGCTTGCTTTGTTCTGATGTCATGCTCATCTAGCAACTTTCAAGAGTAATTAGTCATCCCTTGTGCATTCGTCTCCAGAAAAGGAAAATGCTACTAGGTGGGAGAATATGTGAGCCTGAGGGTTCGTTACATTTCACTGTAAAGTCATGAACTGGCATTCTGAAAAATATATTAGGGTCTCATGAGCCAGCATGAGCTGATACTTGGAGCTCAGTCCCGTGTCCAAATCACACTGAGGGCCACAAAGGAGGATCTATTCAAAGTCAGACTCTGGGAGATCTTTGCTTGTGGTCCCTCGCCTTCCCCAGGCTGTGTTGTCACCTCTTTCCCTAGGCTGTCTCTGGTGCTGCCTTCTCTTGGGGCAGGGCAGAATTTAGGTGATGCAGAAATAAAGCAGAGCTGTGTGTGAAGAGGCAGCGTAAGTCTGACTGTGGAGTGGATCCAGGTCTTGCTTGCTTGAAAACTACAAAATACAAATAGACATGAAATCCCTTACAGCTCTGTGGCAAATGGGAATTCAAGGCTGCCGCTTTGTGTCACAGTGACTGCAGGCAAAGAGTGTTTTCTTCTTATGTAAAATCCCAAATAGCAAAGTTTCTGAGATTCTGGGGTTTGCAGACTGAAGTTTCTCAGTGAATAAGAATTCAGCAGTCACTCAGAGGGTCACTGTGACGCCTCTTAGTTGCAGTGTCCTTGGGAGATGCATTTCCTGTTAGCTGTGCAGCTGGCTTTGTCTGTCTGCTATTTCAGCCTGACAAAAGGCAGGACAGATCATGACTTCCTCAGAAAGCAAGGTAAGTTTTGCTTTCTCACACCTGACTCATGCTAACCATCCCCCCTTCATCTCATGCTGGCCTGTCCCAGCCTCCCCAGCACTGCCTGCTGCCGTAGAGCCCTTGGAGTCACTTGTCTCTCCTCACTGCTCCCCTGGAAACCTGTCCACCGGTGAGGCCTGTGCATTTTGCCCTGGAGATGTGTGTCCCGATTCATCAGCTCGCCTCCATCTCCACTGCCGTATTGTGCCTAAATCCTGAGCTTCCATCAGGTGGCACCCCCAACCCTTGCCAGCCTGAGCAGTGTTTGACAGTCCAGACTGACTACACCATTCCTCTGCTCAAGGCTTCAGCAGCTGCTCCTTGCTCTTAGGATAGAGGCCAGCCAACTTTTGTGGACACCACCAAAGCCACTCCTGCCCCAGGACCTAAACAAGGCCATACTGTGGCTTCAAAGGCTGCATATCAGTGGACATAGCCTTGGCCCAGAGTCACTGCTCTGGTTGCCCAGACACAGGCTCTCCTCCTGTTAGGTGGTATACCTTCGGTGTTTCTTCTGAGAACATGGCTTTGTTCCCATTTTACTTTGTGAGTTGGTGGGAGGGCAAGACCCCTGTTTCTGTCAACCATTGTCTTCTCTCCCTGGCCACCTGTTTGACCCCAAGGGTGTACCCTTTCCTCTCTACATGCTTCTCTTTTCTGAGTTGCAGTTTCACAAGGCTCACATGCTACTAGAAACCCATTGTCTTAGTTACTTTTCTCATTGCTGAGACAAAATACCCAACACCCCAAGTTAAAGGAGGAAAGGGGTAGTTTGGCTTACAGTTTTTAGAGGTTTCAGTCTGTAGATGGTTGGTTCCAAGGCAGGGTGGCACAGCAGAGGAGAAACAGTTTGTGGCGGGCAGAAGACAGGAAGACAGCAAAGCAGTGAAGCGGTGAGAAAGCAGCAGCAGCCTGCCCCTCCCTTTTATCCCTTCCAGGCTGTCTTCCCTGAGTGGTGCCATGTGCACCCAGAGTGGGCCTTCCCATTATCCACACCCAGAGCTATGCCAAAGCAATCAGTGGACTAGTTTAGTAATCATACCCGCTTGGTCCCAGCATCACACACTGTAGATCCAGCCATCTCTGAAAAGCCCCACCTATGGTCACACGAGGCTTTGGGGGGAACATCTAACACAAGCCATGACACCTGTGTGGAGAGAAAGAAAGGACCACAGCAGCCTGGGGCACTGAAGGAGGATGTGTGCATCTGCTTCTGATGTCTGCTTTTCCTCTTGGTAGGCCTGATAATATTATTGTTAACATTTTTTTCCCACATAAAAACTAATGGAGGCTCTGAATGATAGTATTTCTCTCCTGTTCTTCTATAAGGATTTTTTTTCCTTTTGGTACCGGGGATCGAACTCGGGACCTTGTGCTTTCGAGGCAGGCAGCAGAACCACTGAGCTAAATCCTCAGCCCTCTTTTTTTTTTTTTTTTTTTGAGGGAGTTGATCACATTAATCTCGACAGAAGTTGAGCTGCTTCATGGCTGGCTCTGGACTCAGTTCCAGCTGGCCTGTTCCGGTTCACAATGTATCTTGGGGCATTCATCCTTCCAAGGCAGTACAGAGACCTCCACTGTGGCAAATCTTGTCTGCCAGTTTTTCCCTCTTTCTTGCGTGCCATGAGCCTGATTCCAGCTCTGCCTGGCAACTGGGGCTCTTTTCATTCACTGCTTGCTTCCACTGCCTCTCTGCACCACTTACTGATTGCTGAGTGCCTTCCAGGGAGAAATGGTGCTGATGCCAGCTTGTTTTTCTGTTTCCATTTTCTCCAGAGTCAGGGTTCTCCTTATGTCTTGATAGCCCTGTGATTTATTTCCTCAGCTCAGTGGGATGTTGAATGCCCTGCTTAGTTTAGCTGTTTCTTTGCCTGTGTTGCTTTGGAATGTGCAGGGGCTTCAGGTAGGAGTGGGTGGAATGTGGGGCTCACCCACCTGGGATAATCTCCTGTCCTCCAGGACCTGGTCCTCAAGATCCACCTGTCTTACAGGTCTCAGGTACCTTTTCACAGTTTTGTTGTTTAAAGTTGACTTTTTAGGGTTATTCTTGGTGGAAGAATTGATCTGCTGTATCCATAGCATGACTGGAGATGGAAGTCCCACCGTGGGTATTGTCTTGGTTTTTAAATTGTTAGAAATATTCTGTAATGTAACAGACAAGAGGCTTTGGAGGAGCTCCAAATTAAAGGGGGCTAAAAATATATAACGACCAAGTGATCCTGTACTTGACCCCTGATCCTGTACTTGGATATTAAGGGCAATGTGGGACCATGGTTCAAAAATCTAGATCTTGGTGGTAGGTTAAAGTGCTATATCAGTATTAATTTTCCTGAAGTTGAAAACTGTATATTATGGATATCTAAGACATCTCTTTTGTTTGTTTGTTTGTTTGAGGCAGGGCTTCACTATGTAGTTCAGCCTGGCTTTGAACTCATTATGTAGTCCCGTCTGGCCTCAAACTCAGAACAGACCTCCTGCCTCAGCCTCCCAAGTGCTGGGATTGCATGTGTGTGCCAGACTATGCTGACCTCTCTGTTCTTGGGAAATATTCACTGAACTATTTAGGAGCAAAGGGCTATGGTACCTAATTTACCCTCAAATAGCTCAGCAGAGGTGGGGGACAGCTCTCTAAATGGCACACAAATGTGGCAAAATACTAGGCAATGCTAGAGGAAAAGAATACGAGTATTCTCTGTATTCATGCAGCATATTGTGATTTTGAAATTATTTCTGAATAAAAACGTTTAAAACATTGTAAAATGGAAATACCACTTAAACGTTTATTAGACTGTAATTGTTCTTAAGGCACTCTCTTGGCTTTTAGCAGTGGGATTTGGAAACCACTGCATGGTGTGATTTTTGAAGTGTTTATGGGGCTGAGCGTGGTGTTGCACACTTGTAATCCCAGCACTTGGGAGGCTGAGACAGAGGGATCATGAGTTCAAGACTGGCCTGGCTGACATAGTGGGACTCTGTCTAAAAAAAGTGTTTAAAGGGTATTTGAGATTATTTGACATTAATGAGGAGCGAGGGGCCCTTTGT